AATCTCAAACCCTAAAATCGAACCCTACAACCTTCAAACCTTAAAACTAAAACCTTAAACCCCTTAAACCCTAAAATCAAAATCTTAAACCTTTCAAATTCTAAAACTAAACCCTTCAAACTTCAAAATTAGAAACCTTAAAATCTTTAAAACTCTTAAACCTTAAGATTTCTAAACTCTAAACCCTTCAAACCCTAAAATTGAAACCTTAAACCCTAAAATCAAAACTTTAAACCCTCCAAACCCTAAAAATAAAAAATCCTTAAACCTTCAAATTGAAACCCTAAAATCCCAAACCCCAAACAAAATTAAAACTTTTAAAACCCTAAAATCCAAAACCTAAAACCCCAAATTTGGTACGCAATCCCGAATCATCACCGAAAAATCTTTCAAATTTTAAAACCTCGACCTAAGCTTTAACTAGGACCATCCTATAATCCTAAGGATACGTGTGAAAATCTCACTTAAAATAATTTGTTATCGAATACTACCTAGACGATGGAGTATTTAAGAAACTTTATTTCATTAGGTTTTTCTTGCGAGTCCTTAATTCACTTTAACAATGAGATTAAAATTAATAAATAAAAAAGTATACTAATAAAATAGAATCTGAAATATAAATAGTCACAACTGAGTTCTGTCTAGATATTGAAAAGTTAAGGTGGTCTCATTATATTTAAGAATCCAATTTTGAAATGTATTTCATCACCTTACATAACATATATTGGCATACATACGTCATCATGTTATTGTTGGCACCTATTTTGCATTTCTCTGTCTTTAATTTTTATTTGCTACCTGATAATATCATCATTTACTTTCTCATATAAAAATTTTTTTACCAAAAAAAAGGAAAATATGTATTTTAAAATTGTGATATTATAAAAAAATAATATCCAAACGAAATAATTTTTTATACTCTACTTAGATGTTGAAAAATCACCAATAATTATTTTTACAATGAGTGTTATTTTTATTTTAAGGAATATTGTATTAAATCTCAAGCGAAAATATTTACATTAAATTTTACCTAGATGTTAAAAATTTTAAGATAATTTTTTAACTTAAAGATTTTCTCAATATTCCTAAATAAAAAGTTTTAGCAAATATTTATTTTTTAAATTAAATGAATTAGCAGTAAATTTTAAATTAAAATCATTTCATCCAATATAAAAAATAATACAAGATTAATTTGTATCAATTTATGGGCGTTATGGGAGTGCTAATCATTCTCTACACGTAACCGACTCTCAGACCCAATCTAATTTTTGTATATCGAAATTTATTTTTTTGATAAACTTTAAATTTATTTTTATAATTTTATTAAAAAGATAAACTTTTGAATAACTAATCATATCTTAAAAAATATTAGTGACGATTTTTTTTTTTTAAATTTTTTTCATCTAAAGATACTAAAACTGTTACGGTAGGGAAAAAAAAAGAAGAAGAAAAAAAGGAAAAAGAAAGGAGAAAAGGAGGAAGACTCAAATTCCACAATGGTTTGCTTTGAAAAGTTTTTCATCTTCAATCTGGGTTTTTTCAACAATCAAACAGATTCAGAAGTTTCTCAAATAATTTTATTTCAAAATTAACCTTCCAATTATTTTTAAATACATTACTATCGTTGCACACCCAATATATCATAGGGACTGCTTTTATGTAAGTTATTATAGATTACTAGTATTTAAATTGACTAACTGTCATTAGATTCAACATGACGGGGTCATATCCATTCATGTTCCAGAAGTCGACAGCACCGCAGCTTTAACATCCCTTTGCAATCAAAGTTGTGATTTTGGCCCAATGGGAAAATGCTCCTTTTATGACCATCTGCCAACTGTTCGTCAAATTGATTCATAAATTTTCGACGGTTGACCTTTAATTAAACTTGTGGGTGGCGACCTTGGATTCAAGGCATAATAGATAGATAAATAGAAAGTTAGGTTTCAAGTATGCTCCATGAAGATTAAAATTACTACTATTTAGTGTGTTATGATTTTAGCTATATGTACGAATTTGTGCTGTGTGCCTTTTCTAATTTTTCTTATGAGAATTCATTTTGAATTTAATTTATAATCAATTATAGCATTTTTTAGGTCAATCTCATGTTTTCAATCTATATGAGTGATAAAATAAGGTAATTCTCACTCTTTTTGTTTACACATAATGTTAATCTAGTTAGCGAGGATAAATCCCTTTATTATTATCAACATTTGATCTTTGTAAAAAATATTCTGAAAATAAAATTTTAAATGTATTAGGTTAATATAAAAAATGTGTTTTTAAAATCATTTAAAAAAATTAAATTAAGACAATTTTAATTGTAATTAAAAAATCACAACTTTTTTCTTTAAAAAATTAAATAAAAAAGATGACTTTGAACCTATTGTTCGAACACGAAATACAAGTATTTACGTGATGGATCAAATATTCGCGTGCTCATTATTAAAATTAAAACTATTCATTTAAATTAAAAAAATTTTAGATTTTTTTTAGGTTCTTTTTAATGGGTGTTTTTTTTATTTTATTTTATTTATTTTTACTTTCAAAGATGTTTTATCTATAATAATAATAATAATAAACCGGTTTACATCAGTGTCGAAGGGGTTAGATACGTAGCATGAGGACAAGCTGGCCTCCATGAAAGTCATTAATTTCATTTGGTACACACATAAAGACATACAACTATTCAAATAAAAAGTTATAATGAAAGCAAAGCAAAGTTGTTGGCAAAACTGAATCTTTCTCTTCTTGCGTATTCGACTTGGCAATTAATGTTTTTTCTAGGCTGCTTGATGCAGCCGTCAATCATAGAGTATTTATCTATCATCCAAAATGTAAGAGAATTGAATTGACCCATTTATGCTTTACGATGATCTTTTAATTTTTGCAAAAAAAAAAAAAAAACTTAGATTATGTCATGGAAGTAAAAGAGGTCCTGCAGATATTTTACATTTTCTGAAGACTGTAACTAAATTGTGTTAAAAATGAGCTGTTTCTGATTGAAATCGACAAAGATAAACTACTAAGCATTCTATGGGCTTCTTGATTCAAGGTTAGTATACTGTCAATTAGATTCAACAGGCTTTTAGATTCAAGATTGACATACTACCAGTCAGATATTTGAGAGTCCCATCGATTACTAGAAGACTCGCAAAAAAATATTGCACTCCATTAATAAAAAAGATCATAGCTAAAATTAAAAGTTGGGTTGCAAAACAAGTTTCATGTGTTAGCAGAGTGCACCTCATACAGTCCGTAACTTTTAGCATGCAAAGTTATTGGTGCAGACATTTCATCTTACCTAAGCACGTGATACAGAAAATTAACCAACTTTGCTGAGCACTTTTTCTGGAAAGGGAAAGCAGAAACTGCTAAGGAAGCAAGAGTTGGTTGGAAAGCAATTTGTTATCTTAAGTCAGAAAGAGAACTAGCATTCAAAGATTTAATGTCCTGGAATCAAGCCTACCTTTCGAAGAAAATATGGTTCATTTTCATAAAAGCTGGTTCATTATAAATTGCGTGGCTTGAAATTTATGTTCTAAAAGGAAGAAGTGTCTGAGAGGTTCCAATTCAACTAAACAACAGCTAGAGTTGGAACAAGTTGTTACAATTAAGGCAAATTGTTTGGCAGTTCATTAAGCTGGAAATTGAAGTAGAAGTTTGGCCTTTTCCAAATAATAACTATTCTGCTACTACCATATGGAAGATCTTTAGGCTTAACTAAGAAAAGATCAAATGGCACAGGCTCATATGATTCACATACCATGTTTCTAAGCACTCATTAATCTCCTGGATGGTTATACTGAATCGACTACCAACTAAAAATAGGTTGAGAGCCTAGAGGATGGAGACTAATCACAGGTGTGGATTATGCAAAGTTTAAAGCAGAAACAAGGGATCATATATTTTTGGTTGTGCATACCAAAGGAAATCTGGCAACGGTTGCTTCAATTATGCAAAATTCGCAGAATAATGAAGAATTAGGCTTCAAAATTAAATTGGGCAACAAATAAATTGAAGGAAAAAGCATTGATATCCATCATTTTAAGACTAGTATGAAATGCTTGCATATAACACATATGGAAAAAATGGAATTCCAAAATATTCAAGCAAAAAGAAGAGACAATAACACAACTGCAAAATCAAATTAAAGATAATATTCTAATACAATGAAAGGGGCTGAGTTATACTGTTGCAGATACAGTCAACAAAAAGTTAAAGTTATACAATACTTGAAACTTAAATGTCACTATGCTAAAATAGGCGGTTAGTTAATTATATAAACAGTTGGATGATTAATTTATAGCAGAACGTGTTTACTTGGATAAATAAAATATAATTTATCTAAAAAAGACTGAATCTTTCTATTTGGAAATAGATAAGAGAACAAATCTTTACCACCATTACCATTTCTCTTTAAAAAAAAATGCATAAAATTCCATTTTGAGATGAAAACCAACCACAATCCTATTTTCAGAAAACGACATTTCTATTCCAACCGAATGATTTGAGTTTTATCAGATTTCTAGGGGAGAGAGAGAGGCTAATGTCGTCGCACTTGCATATGCTTTCGACAAGAGTGAAAAGTAGAGTGGTTGAGTTTATTTGGAAAAAATTTTCGTCGCATTACGATTGCATTTTAAAAATATAATTATAAAACAACATTAAAATGTGATGATTTTTTTTTTTATTTTAGAAATTCAATTATAAAACAAATTGGTGAAACTTATAAGCCTAAAGTCTAACAGATTTCAAGTGTAACAGTATTATAAAAAGAGAAAAATAAACCTAATTCATCGTCCTCATCATCATTGGTATGTATTTTAGAAGTGATCGTTGGAAGGAGTCCAAAAAATTTCTGTAAATGCTTATAAAAGTCTTGGATTTCTAGATTGTAATTACTTGGTATTGCAAATCTTTGCCATCACTATTTATTGATTTATAAAATTTTGATCATTTTAAATAACGTTATTCAACCGGTCACTTAGATTAGAAGGTCAACCGACGTTGAACATAAAATGCAAGCCAAAACCATCCCAACACGTTTGTGGAGAATAGCACTCAAACGTGAACAAGTTTATGCAACAGAAAATGAATGGAAGTTGTATTTATTTTGTTCATTAAAGAGGTATATATCGGTCAATACCAATCTTACTGGTATGCAGTGAATGCATCAGTAAAAACAAAACCCCCAAATTCTGGGAAAAAGAAAATTCTCTAACTCAATTGCATAAAATAACTCGCTGTCATTCTGTTTCTATGGCCCCAAACAGCGAGCCCTACAAAACTCATATATGAAGCAAATTTTAATATATATTAGTCGTTATTTATAACACCAGTAGCCTCATATGTGGAAATTAATGGCGGTTCAAGCTTTCTCACCTCTTCTTGTTTTTCTTCCTTCCCTTTACTTGTTTCTCTAAATGTTTAAGCCTCTGATTGATAGTCGAAGAAGAGGATATTTTTTGGTGTGATACTTTTGCTGGTTCAACAGATAATGAGGTAGACTGTTCTGATGCTGCTCTGGCTTGTTTGAGAGTTTGTTTGAGAGCTGAATACAGATCAATAGAAGGCCGTGGTGCAGTACCTGCTGGTGGCATAGGTATTTCAGGAACACCTAAAGCCTTCTTCACCCCAGGAGCCTTAAGCACTGCAAAAGTAAAATTTTCAAGGGAAAAGATAGATAGACCTACTCATAAATCTCAAGAAGATAAAAGTTTAATTTATTTGAAAACATAAAATTTTAAGGACTTACCTAGTCCATAGGTGAGGGAAAACAAATTTGATGTAATCCAATAACAGAATATGGCCTGTGGACATAAATGAGTTGAAAATTATCATCAGCATGTAAATATTCACAGCAAGTAACAACTCTAGCACCAAAATTTTAAATACTTAAAAAGGAATACGCACACAACAGGAGAGAGAAGGAGAGAGGCTCCACAAGTTATGATCATCATTCTTAATTTCTAAATGGAAAACTTCAATATCAACAGGAAGCTACACAAGTTATGATAACTATTTCTCAATGGAAGACTTCAAACTCCACAGAAAGCCATTTAACATCATCCTAATTATTTTAAATCTGGTTTTGGGCTAAAAATTTTCTACACTTCTAGTTGAGATAAAAAGAGCTCACCGATGGCACTATTTGCAAATACTAGCAAAATAGTTGACCAGCTTGTTAGAATAGGCAATGCAAATGGATTTTATGAGCTTGTTAAGGGAAAGCATTATATAAAGCCCAGATGATCTATTTGACTAGGAAAAATCTTAATATTGTATTGACAACTGATGGCACACAAAAGAATGTGCAGAAACCAAAAAAGGAAGTGATAATACCTTTGGGAAAGTCATGGTCAATGGAACTGTAAGAACAGCAAAGATCCTAGAAACATTTTTTATAATTCCAGCAGAAGGGTTCCCTTCCATACCTTCTTGCATGTTGCTCTGGGGACATAGAGCATTTAATTAAAACTGATTCAACAATAGAAAGGCATACTGTAATACTGCTCAATGCTTTAATTTCATCCACAACAAAGTAGCTTACCTCAACCGTTATCCAAAATGTCAGTGCTGTCAAAACTGGAAAGATGTATAAACTATCCGGAGTACTGAGATCTGCAAACCAATATGCTCCACCAGTTTTAAATGATGGCATTTTCTCAGCCATGTTTGAAACCTAGGGAAAAAGACAAGTCACTAGGAATAAATCTAAATGTACTACATTCAATTCTACGACCAAACCAGTAATCCTTACAGAATCTTATTAAAAAAAATTTATCTTACAGCCCAGAAAAAGCTGACAAAGATAGGCCCCTGAATAAGGAGCCCCTTCAATGGAGTAAAAGGAGTCACACCATATCTGCAATTATTAAAATGAAAAAAACCAATGAAATTGTCTGGTAAAACCAGTTAAATAAACATTTAACTGAATCACTATATCAAGCACATTCCTGGTCAGCCAGAAAATAGGCATATAACTGAACTATCATCTAAAACAACTCATGTCCAATAGACATTTGTTTCTAACCTCATTTATATAGAATATAAACATGTAGTATCCTCCAAGACAGATTTTTTGAGAAAAGCTAACATTAAGAACCTACCATGACTTCAGACTAAGACGGAGACCCAAACAAATTTGTTATTGGAAGGGATAAAACTAGCACAATAGACTAATTAAAAACAATTAAATAATTGTGAAGCTACCAGCACATTTTCACTTGACAAAATATTACCGTAGAATCAAAAACCAGGGCCCATTACAAAGTTAAGAGATTATAGTATGAAAAGCCAATTAACTAATTTTAGAGATTTGATCATGGAACCAAAGGGTATGCAACAAGTACTCTCAACAGGCAAATGAGCTGTCCTACTGGAAAAGTTGCTTACTCCTTGAAAAGCTTTTTCATTTCATTTTGACCTTCAGCTACTGTCAGGGGATCCATACCCTGCAGAAAAATAGGTAGAAATTGTTAAACTTTATTTCATGCTATCATAAAAGAAACAAAAGCATCCACAGAATCTGAACATGCTCTAAGAGTATGCAAAACAGCAGATAACAGCATGCTATCCACAGAGTAGATTGTTCAAAATAATAATCACAGAAGAAGCTGGCACCGGACCTTGCTTTGCATCCGCTCCTTGATTTCCTCCAAGTGTGGCCTCATTAGCTGCAGGATAAACACAGGTTACAAAAGACAGCAGAGCAATACTTAAATGAACAGAAAGATATATATTTTTGTTAATCAAGCTATAAAAAAAAAAAAAAAAAGAAGTATCTAAGCTGCAAAACTGAAGTTACTTCCAAGAAGAAAGAATATCTAAGAGAGAACATAAGTTCCCTTTCTTTGTCCATGCACATGGGATAGTTGGAAAATAATCAACAAATACTATTGCATTCATGCTAGGCACTAGAAGATATGATTAAAGTTTCCGGAACTAGAAGATATGATGATGTCTCAGTTCTGGAAGTTTCTGGAACTTTTTTTTTTTTTTTGGTACAAAAATGTACAAGTCAAGCAGAGGCGTATTAAAGTTTCTGGAACTAGAAGATATGATGATGTCTCTCAGTTCTTTCTTTCCCTTTGCACTATTGACAAGGTCTGAAGGCAAAATACCACAGTACACCATCCAAATGTCAGTAGCATTATTACTAGACTAGAACATAATTAGCATTATCAAATCATCCAGTATTTACATATTATCAAGTTGTGGCACCATATAAATTACATACTAACAATAAAAGTAATGTCTTGTATAAAGACTCTGGTGCTACAAATAAAATAAGTGGAGTACACAGAGCATCCTACAAGTGAAAAGAACAAGAGGATGGGTAAAAGAAACAGAAATAACTAAAATTACACACCGTCATTTTTGCAGTAGCTTTAAGTTGATTTATCACAAATGGAAGAGTTACACCTCGAATCAAAAGTGTTGTCACAACTATGGAAGCCCACCTGAAATAAATAAGAAACCTATAGTGTTAAAAGATTAAAAGAAAGGTTCCATTTTCAACATTGCATGTTATCAGAACTTGGAGGTTAGCATAAACTAATAAGTCACAAGATACATAATGCATAAGATAAACTGTGCAGATTCAGATCAGGATTTATTTGTCATCATGTTGCAAGTAATAAATTTAATTCAACCACATATAAGAGATAATAACAAATTGGTTCGACTAGAACCTTAAAGATTATATATAATGGAGTGGTATAGCATGTAAGTTTTAACCAGAGTTTCACAGACAGGAATCCTTGTATTTATATCCCTCTTAGTTTATGCTTTCACCCTTTCGTCATTTGAAATATAGCTTAGGTATATAGTTTGAAGCTCATTTTGAAAACAATTCATAAACTCATTTATAATGTAAAAAAGTGATAGATCAAAAAAATGGCTTTGCTATGCGATATTTTTGCTGAAATCGTTATCATTGCACATTCCGTGCATTCTCAGTACATTTATATTTGCAAAAATACAAAATAATTAAAAGTAGCAACTTACCAGTTGAAGCCGGTAAAAGAATGAACTGCATCAATAACATACTGCAAACCAGCAACAGGCAACCAACAATCAGCAGCAGCAATGGCAACCTCATTCACAGCAGGAGCCTGCGAAGCCACTGCTTCAAAAGCACTATCCTTAAGAACGTCTGCAACATCACTTATAAGCTCAATCTTATCTTCCCCAACACTAGTAGTCGACATATACCGGCAAAAAGAGATGCCGGTGCTAGGAAGAAAAGGTAGTTTGGAACATCTTCTATCTTGGAACAACACACCAAACCCTGAGGATGAATTACTAAACCCAGTTCCAAAAGATCTTTGTTGAACAAAATTACCAGGTTTTTGTTGAGATTGGGACTCGTTTAGAGGGTGATTTTTACGGTCATCTTCATGGACAACGTAGGCAAATGATGGTTGATATCGTCTAGCTATTAGGGTTGCTCTATTGGAAAGGCTACGCCTAAACGCCATTGATACGAAGAACAGAAATTCCTCTAACAAAATGAAGAAAAAGAAAAAGAAAAAGAAGAATAATCAAATTAAAACCATAACCAAAGCACGATAAATACAGAAAAAAAATATTAAAAGTGGGAAAAAAAATCTCAAGATTCATTTATTACCAATCGAACAGAATCACTAAGAAGAAACCAACAGAGTAATCAAATAAAATAATACGGGAAAGAAGAAGCAAAAACTCACCGTTTGAACTTTCAATCTCTTGTGTTCGGAAGAGAGAAGGTTTCGTCAGGCGCTGAAACGAGGAAGGCTCTCTTTCAACAGAACAGGGTTTAACTCCCCGGTTTCTACTTCCTTACAGCTAAATTTTTTGCCCTCAAATCCTCAACGTATCTATGCTTCTCGAGGGTAATATCGTCCTTTTGTTGTAGATTGAATGGGCCGCCTTTGACAATTTTGGGTCCAGCTTAGCCCAATCGTCCATTGTCATTTTTTCTTTTTCAGCTTTCAATTTTCATGCAAAGGGCAATGGGTTTGTTTTGACCAAAGGCCTTAGACCAATAGCCAATGGACACCTGCCGGCCTTTGGGATATTTCTCGCAAAAAGAATATTTTAGTCGCTTGAAATTTTTTTAAAATATTTTTTTATTATGGAGTTTTTAATCAAATTAACGTTCTTTAGGTTTTTTCCATTTTGAAAAAAAAAAAGAGAATATTTTGTTTTTACATATGGTATTTTGGTGCATGATTAAACTTGATGGGGATTTCAACTTTTACCTTGATGATTCAATGGTCACAATTTCAAGTTCATGATGAAATTAAAGGGAATAAATAGCTGGAGAGCATCAAGACTCGAGAGTGTAGAAACAAACAGAGCACAATTAAGCACTGTGAAAACATGAACCCATCAATAGACAATGTTTGGTAAATCTGCAAATGCGGGGAAAAGGTATTTTTAGTTTGAAGACTTCTGTTTTTTACATTGAACCCCTGTGTTATAAACTGAAATTCAATAATTAGGGAGACATAAAACAGGAATTTTCAGTTCTATAGAATTTGTGCACAATGAAAATATATTAATTAAGAAGAAGATGATGATGATGAAACAGTGGGAGCAGATATCTCTGGGGTGTTACGACATAATGGGCATGCAGCATTCAATTTCAACCACTCATCGATACAAATGGCATGAAAATAATGCTTGCAATCTGGAATAGTCCTTAATTTTTCTTTAGCTTGGTATTCACAAAGACATATTGGGCAAGTGTTATCATTAGGCCTTGGTAATCGCCGGCTTTCACCAAGCAATGTTATTGGATAGGCGTCAATAGTTTGTCCATCAAGGCCTTTGGCTACACTTTCTGATCTTGGGGTCACTGAATTGGAGAAGGCTTCCGGGTTGGGATGTTGATGGTTGTAATCGTCAACCTTGTTGCGGAGGTAAATTACCAGGCCGAAGAGGAACAAGAGGGGCATTCCCACCCCGAACATTATACCGTATTTATCACTTCTTGAAAGACCTAAAATGAAAAAAAAAAAAAAGTTAATGGAAAATGTACTAATGTGGGGCAACAAAATAATGATACATGCATCTTCTCAAATTAAAAAGCATGAAACATGCTGAAACAGGCATGCAATTCGCTATCACAGATCCGTTGACCGCTGTAAGTTTCTGATATTCAAGCGCAGCCTTACGTGTTTTTAGGTGCATGAAAGCGATGCCCCACGAATGGGGTGATCAGATCTCAATAGCAAATTGAAATTTGCCTTTGTTCACCTACTGTGTGTAACTGTGTATATCACCTCCTCCATCCTTCCTCACCATGTTCAAATAATTAGAAGCTAGTAAACCAATCCTAAACAAATAAATACGAAAATATGGATACTTATTTGTTTATTGTCATAAATTTTTTGGACTTGGTGTGTGATTTATGAAGAACAATTGTATTAAAATGTTATTCTTAATCAAATTAAGCAACATGTTTCACTGCAAAATAGAACATACCATTGGTAAAACCACCGGAGCATCCAACATCCAGGCCCGTATCACTCCCGAACCTGCAAGTCCCCGTTCTGCTTTCACACGGCAGGCAATTAGGTTTATTCCATGTCAACCTTATACCAGAGCCAGGATCCGACCAACCCGTCCAGGAAAGTGGAACCAAAACCGTTGCTATCTCCAAACACGAAGTCGACAACGATGTAGACAAATCAAGACGGTCCGCAGGTACAGCGACGACGGAAAAATTAGTGCCACTAAGACAAGAGATATACCTTGCTTCAGGTAGTTCTGTCGATGAAGCAGAGGAGCAATTGAAAAACGTGTAGCTTCGAGGATATAGCAAATCGAAAGGAGTACCAGATAGATTAAGCCCCTGAAGCAGACGTTTCGGGGGGCAAAAATCAGGGTCGTTGATCCATATATTTTGGAACATATAGTCAATATTTACGACAGTGAAGTTACCGGAAAATGGAAGCGAAAGGATAGTTTGGGCTTCGTTTTTGCATGAGAGATTGAACCGGGGATAGCCACAACGATCAGGTTGGTTGTTGAGACGGAAAGGGAAACGAATCAATTGAATCCCACAGGAAACAGGGCAAATTTCAACGCTTTTTGATGACTGAAGAGAGAATAAGAGGAAGGAGAAGAAGATGAAGAAGATGGCTTCTAAGATAGCCATTTGGTGTTAATTGAAAACTAAAAAATAACTTCTTTTTTTTTTTCCTTTTATGCATTCATAAGTTCAAATGGAATGAGAAAAAAGAGGAGGTTAACATCTTAGATTATTCTGAAAAATTATGTAGCAGCCATTGCAAAAACTCCAAATTAAATGTGGACTACTTGATAACTCAAAAATGGAAACTAGAAGCATCAAGCAGATTGTTGACTTCTTCTATTCTTAGTATTCATCAACCATATAATCATAAGCGCCTATCATGTTGACGATTTAATATTCGTATTTTACTTTAAAAATCTGGCGTTTGTTGATTTGCGTTAAATTCAGATATGGATTTAATTTAGTTGGATTGATCAAGTATTAAATTTTCAAGGTAATTTAGAAAGAGAAAAGATTTGCCGTCATTATAGTGACAAGCCACTATTTAGAAAAGAAAAGAGCGCAAATTGACACTTAACCTTAATTCTGACTCCTCATTGATGGATGCATGGCTAAAGAATATTCCATGTTTCTTTCTTTTTTAGTTGAGAGCTAATTTTCACTTTCATGAAAAACAAAAAAAAAACATAAGCTCAACCAACACTTGTTTAAGGTTTAAGTTATCAACTCGATCTTATGGATTCAATTCAATTCAGGTCAGGTCTTGAAAAGATTTTTTTAAATTTTGGTTTAATAAAATTAATTAATTAAATTTTTAGTTTTAAAATATATTAAATAATAAAATATTTATAATTATTATTTTTAATACATTTTTTAAAAATTTCGGACAAAATATCCGATAAATCAAGCTGAGTCTTAAATAAATATTTTAAAAGGCCAATCAAGCTTGATCCAGTCTTTTCGATTCATGTACAAATTTACTTGGATACCTTAACCTCATTGTAATTCCACTTCACAAATTTAACTCAAATATGAATTTCCCAAACTTTCTTAACTTAACAAGCGGTTATAAGCTTTCCTTTTTTTTTCTTTTTTTTTTCTTTCAATACAAAGATAAAGTGTATAATGGAGCTATTAAAAGTAACTTTTGCTTTCAAAAGCTGCTTTTGATCCAAATATAATGTTAAATAACAAAAAATTTTGATTTTTCAATCTCAACCAAAAAATTCCTTAATAGGTAATTTTGCCATGAAAAATACTTTGAGATAAAAAAATCACTTTATTATCTTTATATTTTTAATATTTTATTATTTTATACATACATATTTTTTAGACATCACAGTTAATCACATTATTATTTTCAGTAATACTAAACATTTAAAATTTTAATTATATTTTTCTCACCTTATTTTTTAAATGTACCTTTTAAATACAAATTTTTTTTCAACTGCAATGCAATGCTAAACTAGCCTTAAATAAAGTTTCAATAGTACATAATTGACTTTGTTATATAGAGTTAATATTTGAAATATTGACAATGTATAAATGATATATTCTATTAATCAATCAACTATAACAAATACTTATTAATGGGTAAAACCAAAAATAGTCATATTCTTAAAAGAATACTTTTAAAAAATTAATTAAATTTAAATAAATTTATTAATAGTTATTTTTAAAGATATTAGTATATTTGTTTTATTTATTAATAAATTATCACTATATAATTTGACTAACAATATAAATATTCTGAGTGCTTTAATATTACTTCTTTATTCTAATAGAAAACAAAAGAGAATTTATGTTTGACTTCTACTCTCTAAAGCTACAAAACCGTCCAGGACAAATTTTGTTTGTGCAATTAATCAATTGATACTATTATAGAAGGTCATCTTATCGTCAGTTTAAATTAAATACTATGTTACGAAAGAACAATATTCCTTTCTTCGGTACAATTTTTTTTCTTTTATATAGGGTTAATATGTAAAATGTGATTGTATTACATATTTTCTATCAGTGGAATTGCTAAAGATATACAATTTTTATTTTTGGTATTTTAACTCTTATTTCATTAAATATTTTGATATTTTTTATTATTATGGTTAATTAAGTGATTGATGTGACATGAATATCTAATAAAATCATATCATGTGTCATAAATGTATAATTATCATCACTTCAATAATTATAATGTTAATAAAAAATTTATTCTCTCTCTCCTAATTCTTTTCCTTTCTTTTTAATTTTTATTTTTTAAATTTTGAATTAAAAAATATTTTTTAAGAAAAATTTGATTTTTTAATTTAAATACTAACATGAAAAATAGATGATGTAATGATAATTGGATATTTATGCCACATGTAATGATTTTATTGAGTATTAATACCACGTAAATAAATTGATTAATCATGTTATATTAGAGTATCAAAATATTTAATGAAATGAAAATTTAAATACTAAAATAAGAATTTTATTTCTTTAAATACCAAACTAATAAAAATATATAATACATAACTACTTTTGCATTTAACCTTTTTTTATACACCTTTCTTAATAATTTAATGAATCAACCGATAAAATATTATAATTGAGGGTTTTAAAATGACATCTTGCATTATGCATAATTAAAAGGGACGATTTCATTACATATGTTAGCTGTGCATCATTAACGTTATTTTGTTTTGGCATGAAAATTGAAATCCAAAAAAAAATTAAAAAATAAAATTTGTAAATGTTGAGGAACCAATCTCAATACTTTAATTAACAAGAAAAGAATTTTAGCATATGCAATAAGAGTAATAAGATCAAATATGCAGCATAAAAAGAGACATTTAGCATGAAAGGCTTATTTTTTTTAATTTCTTAATGAACTTCTAGCATTTCAAAGATTCGATTCTCATATATATTTTTGAAGATTCATGGTACATATAATACAAACATATTGAACCCCAAAAAATTACAAATATTTTTGTACAATTAACCATCTATGGTGGTGTTGGCAATGAAGTGGAAAATGTAGAATGGGTGATCAAAGCAGACTCTTGATCTGGCGTATTTCGACAGACCGGGCATGCTGCATTTAACTTAAGCCACTCATCTATGCAATTAGCATGAAAGTAGTGATTGCAATCAGGTATGGTCTTTATTGTCTCTTTGGCTTGGTATTCTGATAGACATATTGAACAAATATTATCATTAGGCCTCGGAAGCCGGCAGCTTTCACCAAACAAAGTAATTGGATAGGCTTCAATCCTTGGTCCATCGAGTCCATTTACAGTTCTATCAGCTAATTGATGCTCTGCAGCCAAGCTGGAGATTTCGACATTGGATTGGTGGCGTCGATCATAACAACTGTAATGAATAACACACACCACAACCAAGATGATGGGTGTTGCCAGGATAAAAATTGAGGCATATTTGATACCACTTGTAAGACCTAAAAAAAATGCAAATTAAGTTGAAATCAATGGGTGAACTTGCTAAAATTTTGAAAGATATGAATCAACTATAGTTAACAAAATTAAGCTGGCATATATAGAATCTGTAAATTAACAAAACTAAGCATGAAGTCCCAACGACCTCTTTCATGGTTCTCTCTTTCATTCACCTTAAATTTGTTTCATGAAGTTGAAAGTTCTGTTCCCTCTTGAGTGATTTGATTTTTCATATTGTTTGTAGCGGTAAGATAAAGCATAAACATTCTTGCTTTGAGAAAAAAAAAAGGCATATCATCTAAATAACAAGGTTTTATTTGAAACATACGACTTTTCTTTTTGAAATGATAGGAGCATCCATCATCCACACCGTCACTATTTTCAAGCTGGCAATTACTTCCATGGCTTTCACAGTAATTACATGATGACTGGCAATCGGGTTCTCCCCATGTTAACAGAATATCATCCATATGGTGCCTCGGCCAATCTGGAGTCGAAAGAGGGACCAAAATCTTTGATATCTCTAGACATGAACCCAACGAGGAAGACTGTATGTAAATGATTGTGGGTATAGCCCAAACCGAAACGTTTGTATTACTAAGGCAAGAAAAACGTATTGCAGGATAACCCATTGTTACATTGGAGGAACAGTTGAAAAAGAGGTAGCTTTCAGGGTATCGTGGCTCATAAGGAGTGCCAGAGAGATCGAGTCCCTGAAGAAGACGTTTCGGGATGCAAGGGTCGCTGATCAGTAAATTTGGCGGGGTATAACTAATGATGCGAACAATAAATTCACCGGAAAAAGGAAAAGTGATGATAGTTTGGTCTTGCAGTTGGTTTCTGCTTCTGCATGAGAGATTGAAGTTGGGATTGCCGCAGCAGTCAGGTTGGTCTGTGAGCCGGAAAGGGAAGTCCACTAGTACATCACCGCATGTAACGTCCCGGCAGATTTCACCGTTTGTCAATAGTCCAAGAAAGAACAAGAGGAACAAAGAGAAGAAGAAGAGCTTTATAGAAGCCATAATTTCATGAGTCAAGAAAATTTCACCTTAATTAACAAAAGAAAACTAATTAAAAAATGTGTTCTTCCTCCGGTAATCAAGGCCTACAAGCAAATAGTTTAGACAGATAATCACGTCAAACAAGACAATTAAGAGGCGTTACATAATTTCCATAGTTATGATGTAGCTGATGTTGAACGTTTGACTGTAGTAAGATTTATTTTAAAGATATATATTTGATGCATTAATGCTATACACTGTTAGGTACCATAGATTGTCATGTAATTATAAAAATTTTAAAATTTTAAAACTTTTAAAAATAAATATTTTAAAATTTAAATATTTAATTATATTAAATAAAATAATAATGTGATGACTTATGATACATGAATGATGTATAATATCTATATATTAATAGTATACCAAATTAAATCCTATTTAAAAAAGAAAGAAAAGAAAATTCGTGCTTGTTGAAGCTACAAACCTTCAAAGATCATTTTGTTAATGAAGTCAATCAATTACTACAATAGAAGATCAACTTGTCTTCACTCTACATCAAGTACTAACATAAGATCGAACAATATTCCTCTCATATTTACAATGTTTTTTATATACCTTTCTTAATTATATGGTGAGTCAAATGATAGAGTATTATGATTGTGGGGGTTTAAGGGAACGTCTTGTGCGTATGTATTTATATATGTACAATTAAAAAGAGCGTATGCATTGCATGTATTAGCTGTGCGTCCTTACCGTATAATTTGGGTGTTTTCACCCTATTTGTTCTGTTTAACGGCGCAAATTAAGAAGAAAAAAAAATGCCCAAGACAGAATAAATACATAAGATAATCAGAGGTAATTAATTGCAAATAAAACATACATTGAGAAATAATTAATGCAAGAGACATAGTTCTGCTTAGCATTTGCTTACTCCTTAAGTCCGTAGGATGCCAAAATGCAATGCTCACGGTTAACCAAAATAATTGAATTGGACTATCTCAACTCTTTGGAGATGATGTTGTATTTATGTCATATAGATGGACTAAAAAGTTATTATATATTAGATTATATTAATTAATGTTAATTAATGAGTAATTATTATGATATCATATTACAATATATTTAAATAATAATATGATTTCAGTTTAGTATGATTTCGATTTAATTTTTTATTTGAACCCATAATATAATGGGTTAATTTTGATTAACATGTTAAGGGGTCCATGCTCTTTTATATATATATATATATATATACACACGAGGTTAGCCAACTGAGTTATAATTTAGTTTAGAGAAACAAAAAATAATTCTCTTTTTTAACTGTACAAGTCTCTGATCGGGTCTTGGAGGTAAGTGATGGAGAACTCTTTGATGGCGGCATCAATTCTATGATCGTGGATTTAACGAGATTGAGCTCTTGCTTGCATCTATATCAGTTTTAGTTTTGATTAAATTATATTATTGACCTTGTGACTTTCTAGGCTAAAACCAACGGTTTGTATCATAACCATACTCATCGTGGAGGTCACTAACCACTTCAGTTTGGTGTGATATCAATATTAAAGCTTTAAATGAAGCTTTTAGATTTTTGAGTTTTTAGAACTACGTCATTTTTTGAGTTTTTGGGCTCCAAATTCTAGTTTTATTGTCACGGAGCTTAAAGGGGGCTGAAATCAGGCTTTTTGGGTCCAAAATCATGCAAAAATAATGAGTTTTGAGTCTCATCAAATCAGGTTGGGTAAAAAAACTCAAAACCAAGTGAAACAGGAGAAGAAAACTCGCGGGCGTGTGCATTGATGATGTGCATGAGGTGCATGCAATTTGTTGGAGTCACACATGCCGACTTTTGGAAAAAAATTGCATTTTGCCACCTACTATTTTTGGGTCATTCCGATTTAGGTTAATTTAATTTTCCTTTTCTGTATCAGGTCCTGTTTTTCTCGTTTTCGGATAATTTCCTTTTAGATGGAAATTAAGGGATATTTCATTACTGTTGGACTAATTTGATTTTTCCTTCCATGTTGAGTTATTTTTACTTCAAGCTATTTCCTTCTAGGCCATTCAAGGTTAGATCGTTTGGTGGAAATTAAAAGGTTTCTTAATTATTGTTGGGTTATTTTGTTTATGTCAAATTCAATGATTAAAATTTTGAGGCCATTAATTTAATTAATTTTTGTCATTTGGTTAATTAATTTGGACCGAATAAACTCATTAGATTTTGGACCACATTAAATTAAATTGAGACCAATTTTAATTTTAATTTCATTTATGGCCATTTAGGTCTAAGTTATTTTGTTGGGATTAAAATTTTGGTTATTTTGTTTTAGATCAATTTTGTTGAAACTAAAATATTAGGCTTAATTTAATTGATTTTAGCCGTTTTGCATAAGGCGATTTTAGTTAAAATTTTTGATAAAATATTTTGGGTCCAAACTTACTGGCTCCATTTTGTAAAATATTTGGCCTAATTAAATTGGTGATAAATAAATTATTTTGGTATTCTAGTTAGCCCAATATCAATAATTAAAATTTACCCATTTCATCAGTAATTCATTTAATTCCAAAAAAATCCATTTAATTAATAAAATTGCATTATTATTTGAATATTCATAATAAATCTAATTTTCTAGTTTTTGCACACCTAATTTTTAGTAAATGCTTTTGGTGTTGCATATTTTTGTTATAGTTAAATGCTGGTCTGACAATTTTAATAAATATTTTTAAATTACACAAATCACTAATCAAATTGATTAGAACTCGCTTATCGTGGGAGTGATTATGAAGATTTTCTAGATTTTTCTACTAATTTATTTCAAATAATAACAAGGCAAAACTATTGCGATAGTTGCAATATTTACTGAGGTCTCTTAAGGTGATAAGACCTTCCCTGTCATATTTACTGTTGCCTTAAGGAATGATTGGAAAAGAAAAGATTCTGGTTGAGGTATAATGTGATTTAGCTACCATGTTGTAGCAAGTCATTCTAGGTAGGGGTGTAAATGATACATTAGTATTCGCAAGCTATTCGGTTCGATTCGAAGAAAACTCGAATTCGGTTCGATTATTATCGAGTCGAGCTCGAACTCGAGTAACTCGACTTATCGATCGAGCCGAATTCGAGTATTCTTATATCCGGCTCGAGTAGCTCGCGAGCCTAATCGAGCTTTTCTATTATATATTTATTTTTATTATTTTATTTATAAAATTACTTTTTTACCCTTAGCTTAAAAAACCCTAAAATTTTATTTTCTTTCTTTCTTTCTTTCTTCTCTTTCAGTCTTTCTCCCCGTCTCTCTCACTCACCAATAGCCCTACTTGCGGTGCATTTTCTTCCCGAATCCCATTCCATTGTCTTCCAAGCTTGTTCCACCCTTTCGAAAGCCTTTTCTCCTCTCTCTAAAAAGCTTGAAATAGAACCCGATCTTGAACAGAACCCATTCGACGTTTGCAGCAGCTTCAACATAACTTGATCTTGAACAGAACCCGATCCCTCAACGAAGCCCTGCTCGTTCCACCCATTCGACGTTTGCAGTAGCACCCATTCGACGTTTGCAGCAGCTTCAACAGAACCCGATCTTGAACAAAACCCGATCCTTCAACGAAGCCCTGCTCGTTCCACCCATTCGACGTTTGCAATAGCACCCATTCGACGTTTGCAATAGCTTCAACAGAACCCGATCTTGAACAGAACCTGATCCCTCAACGAAGCCCTGCTCGTTCCACCCATTCGACGTTTGCAGTAGCACCCATTCGACGTTTGTAGCAGCTTTAACAGAACCCGATCCCTCAACAAAGCCCTGCTCGTTCCACCCATTCGACGTTTGCAGTAGCACCCATTCGACGTTTGCAGTAGCTTGAACAGAACCCGATCTTGAACAGAACCCGATCCCTCAACGTAGCCTTTTCTCCATGACATACTTTTTGAGTGCCATTTTTTTATTAAATGTTTTTATGTTAGGCTTTCAATTCATGCTAAAAGGTGGTCTAAATAAGAATGCCTTAATTAAATACCTTTATGAATGCCTAAATTAAATACCCTTATGAATATTGTGGGGATGCAAATCGAGAACAACAATGAAAGGGGGCAAGGTGTTATAGTTATTTGTTAGTATTGATATTCTCAATTCTGATTTGTTTGTCAAACACTATCATATTATACTTTTATTTTTGTTGCAAACTTGTGAAAAGCAGTATGTTCTTTGTGAAGTTGCATTTAAATACTGAATTTTGTAAACCAAAAGTCTCTATATTATTAGCAAGAAAGTAATTGAATTTAGGCCACTTTAAGACTTGCACAATACGCTTTATCAGTAGAAAAACTTTTGGATGGTTCATATTATTTAACAAAAAAAAAAAGGGTCATTGGCTCTATTGTTTTTAGTCATAATCATAATTTGAGCTTCCATATAGTTCATCACTAATTTATTGGGGACTGTTTAATCTGAATAATTTTCTTCTTTATGCATATTAGATTTGTTAGAATATAACCTGACACTTATTTCTAATGAGATTGAGTTAATGTTATATAAATACTAAATAGGCATGTATAATTGTAAAAATTAATAAGAAATATTCATTTTAAGAAATTGATTTTAGAAATTGAAATTATTATCGAAGTAGGTAATCTTAAATTTATTAAAATTCCTACAATATTAGTATATTTTCCCAAAGAATAAAATTTTATACTCTTCCAATAATTTGTTCTCGCAACTTGTTTAGCATGTTTCTAGCAATAAAATTTACCGCACATGTTTCTAACAACTTGTTTGCAGTATTGTTTGATCCTAAAATTATATTATTGTTTTGATTTATCTTTTTTTTTTTTTTGCTATAGAGAACTAAACATGTCATCAACCACACCGGATATCTCTTCTATACCAGTTCAGCCGACAATAAATTCTTTTACTAGTCGAATTGTGTCAGATGATGGTAATGATTCAATGAATGAAGCTTTAGATGCCACTAATGGTAACACAGATAAAACACCAGTCATTGATGCCAATGATAGAGAATGTGATAAC